ACCGCCCGCCTCGCCCCGCCGACCTCGCAGCTGCAGCCCGGCCCGCCCCAGCTCCCAGTTCCTCCCTCGCCGCCCGGGCCAAAAAAACGACCTTGTTTTTTGGCTTTTTTCGGGTTCGGGGAGCGAGGTGAGGGCTTTGACCCGGCCGCGGCGCACCGGGACGAGCAGTCCGCGGGGCCCCGCGGCACCGCCAAAGGGACAGACCCGCGCCCGCCTTCTTGCCCAGAGCCCGAGGGGACGCGGGAAGCGCGCCGCAAGCTTCCGGGAGAGCCCCCCGGGTGGGTGGGGACCCTCCGCGGGTCCCAGGCTGCTCCGCCCGCCCTCCCGCTCGCCCGCCAGGCCCGGGACTCGCTTCCCTTAAGGGAAGCCCGCGAGTGGCCAGCACCGGTGGGCTCGGGTCGCCGGGCCGGTTCCTGGGGCGTGCGTGGGCCGACGCACCCTGGAGGGAGCCCCCGGGGGTGGGGTGGGGTTGGGGGGGGCTGAGTGACAGAGGTCACGGCCCGGAGCCGGGGCGGGGGCGGAGGGCGGCGATCCACCTGGCGACGTGGCAGCCATTGCGGCGGCCCGCGAGACCCCTCCCCACGCGGCCGCCCACCCGCCCTCTCGCGGCGGCGGGCTCCGGAGAGGGCCGCTGCTCTTCCCGGGTCGGACGGAGAGCGGCAGTGTGTCCCCGCTCCGCACGCTCGTCCCCTCGCTCGCTGCGTCTCTCCTCTCTCTCTCTCTCCCCCCTCCACCTCCCTCCCTCCCCGCGGCCACAGCTGCTCGCCAGCCCCGCGCCGCGCCGCGCCGCGCCGGAGAGCGCAGCAGCAGCGGCGACGGCGGCGGGAAAGGGCTGCGGACCCGCGGCGCTCACTCGACGACGCGGCACCCGGGGCCTCGACGTCCCGCTCCCCGGAGCAGGTAAAGACGGAGAGTTGTTGCAGGGGGAGGGGGGAAGAGACAGGCGACGGGACCCGGGGAGAAGGGGGCCAAGCGAGGAGAAGGGGATGGAGAGGTTGCGCGCGCGGGGTTGGGTGCACGGAGGTGGTGGGGGGATCCCGGGAGAGGAGAGGGCCCCGGGGCGGGCGGCGAGCGACGCGGAGACCCGGGCGAGCGCG